AAATGTTCATCACAAATGCTACAATTGGGTTATAAAAAAAAGGTCACTAATGCAATTAAATATTTGTAGCAAAATAATTGGTCATCAATTATTTAAACTGATATTAAATCAAAAAAGTATTTTTGTAATTATAACATACATTTGTGATGAATCTTTCCTTCACAAATACACTAAAGAATTTGTCACTAATTATCTAAATAGAAAAGGATAACAATATATATCTGTGATCATAAATTTCACCACAAAAAGATATTGAGTTGAAATTTAATCAATTACCAATCAATATTGATCACAAGTTTAATTTCAAAAAAATAATTATACCATTTTTTTTTTTGACCAAGTTTACAAGGGTGGATATCGAACCCACCATGGGGAAGGGAGAAATGCACTGCGCAGCAGCCCTAAGGCCGCTTGGCCCGATGGGTCAAGTGCAATTATATCAATTTTAGTAAGATAAAATATTGTAAAAATAATATATAAAAGATAAATTTTTATTATCAAATAAAATTTAACAATAATTTAATATTATAATGAAACTGCAAATAATATTTTTTATCAACAAATAAAAAATTTTATTCAAAAAAATTTTAACTTATTATTACGAGGTTCCTACAACAAAAATACATATCACATATCACACGCTACAAACTTGTTTCAATCTCTATGAGTAATTGCTATATAACTCTAGTTCAACTACTAAGGCAAAGTGCATCATTATTCACACAACCTCGCTTAGACATTTTATAGCCTGTATAATAAAAAGAAATACTAACCCATATATATACAAAATTGACCTTCACACATATCACAATACTTAGCTTGAAAGTGCTATAGAATCTCACAAAACACAAGCACAAAAAAAAACTACGAGCCAGAAATCCTTTCCGGTCCTTGCTTGACCATAGTCTCCTTGCGTAGCCACAGACTTCAAATACAACGATGAAATGATCCTGAAAAAATCAGTAACACCAAAAAACGCATAAATCAAGTAACCAAAACCAAAATTTAATTTTAATTAATTTATAATCGCCAATACACTTTCTCCTTGGTTTTTTTTTTTTTTTT